TCAGCAGGATTCACAACACGAACAGCCCTCTGGGATTAAGCACTACCTAGATAAGCATGTACTAGGCATGGGTGGACTTAACCCAAGGTAACTAGCTCTCAGCTTGGAAGACAATAGTCCACGGCACTCAGACAGACCAGACCAGCTGCTGTTCGGAACCTCTCACTGCTTCACCATTCAAGCTACTTCTCTCCCCTTGCATACGGTGGTGCAAACTGGTCCCCAGACCAGCCTACTGTCAGGCAGACATTCAGAATAGCCTTATTCTTCATCACCCTGAAACATAACAGCATCTGCCAGTCTGGCACTTCTGTTATGTATAACGCACAACAGCTAGGATAGGATACATCCAACGGACTAATCTGTAACTGTTGGTATCTAACTGGGACTTCCTGCTAGCACAGATTAGATTCCTTGTTTGTCGGAGGCTGTATCTGCATTCCCAGCCAGACGCTGAGCACAGAGCACCACGAGGCACTGGTTCAAGTGCACCATCATGTCCAGCTGCCTTAAGAGGGGCAGAAAACTGGCCTTGGCTTTGCAGGAGATCAGCAGAACTTGGACAGCACCTTTGTCCACCATGAATGGTACCAACCTGCAATCGCTCAAGTACGCCAACTTCAGAGTACAAATGTAAAAATGTAAAAGGTCGAGATCAATATTCATCCAATATCACCGTAGATTCAGTTAGAATCTTAGTTTTAAGGATACTCCTCCATTTAATACTTGCAAAACCAAATGGTTCACCAAAGATGAGAACCAATGGTTTAGATTTTGAGGAAGTCTAAGCAGTTTTCCAGCTTGCAGACTTGACTGGGAGTTACATCAAGTTTACCAGAATTTATATGCTGACCTTCCAAGTTTAAGTTGTCTCATGCATGCTCTGGGAGATGTGCAGAATACCTCCTTCTCACCCTTTCTACCATTAAAACCAAACACAACTACCACACTCTGCAGACAGCTGTCTTGGACACATGTGCTGCATAACAATAGCTAACAAGAGCCTGTGGCAGCAGCACAACTATAAATAGCATCAGTTAGAGTTTCTGCAAGAAAGGGCTAGGACCACAGTACTTTCAGTGGATCGGAATGGATGCAGCTGGAGCTCTTGAGATCACTAAAAAGAAAGGTGAATGAGGCTGAGATTTCTTCTTTGCAAGTTGTTCTCTGGTTTGCTTTTCTGTTCCAGGCACCTATTTGCAGTCAGCAAAGCACAGAAGAGCTCTCTGCAAAGATGGCAATATCAGATAGCACGCTAGCTTTCCTCTTCAGCATCGCGCCTGTAGAGGCAGGGGCTAATCCATCCCCAGCTGCCAAACTCACAACATAATGTCTGCTCTGCTGTGTTTGTTCCAGTACTTCAGGGGTTTTCTATTCTCTTAAGTACGCACCTTGAAAGAGCAAATACACAAATGCATTAGTAGCACAATCTAGCCCTTGAACTGCTAAGCTTGGCCTTCAAGGAACATGCTCACCTCTGAAAAGATCACACACCAGATCCACCACCTATCAGCAGGTTAACGCAAAAAGTGAGCCATGAGACACTGCAAAGTACAACCGTCTCGTCGTTATCTCCTTTCTAAACAGGGCACAGCTCCCAGCCCTGCTGAGGGGCAACTAAGACCACCCAGAGCCTTGAGGAAGAACAGCTGATTCTTGGAATTGGTAAGAAGCACAGTGCTCAATCTCAGGGCACACGTCCCTTTGGCTCAGAGTACTCACTCTGCCTGAGTCAAAACCAACTAAGCCCCAGGCTCCTTCCAGAAGTTTGCAAATGTATTCCTGCTTTCAGATGCTCCATCATTACCTTTCTAGGAAACAGGATCCTCTTCTGTGTTGACTAAAAAGAACCACCAAAAAATCCACTCACAAACCAAAATGTAAATTCACTGGTTTTACCTTCTTCTGCATGTGTTCTCCACTAATTACTTAATTTTTCTTGTTTTTCAGCAACCCTTGTTTTCACCTCACCTCCAAAAGCTTTCTATTGCTCAGTCATAAGATGAAACATTGCTGACACTAGCACCACTACCAGCCACCCTTGGAGATGGCACATTAGTACAGATAATGAAACGCAGCAGTATCTTACACAGGCTGCAAAATCTGAATGTCCACTCCAGTCAAATACCAATACTTCCAGACCCAGAAAGAATCACCTCTGCCTCTTTCTTCCTAATCTATTCTACCACAGTCATTCTTTTCGGACACTAGATACTAAGAAATCTCTATCTAGACCTCATAAATATTTCAACTATATCCACTTTGTTTAAGTTATAAGCTCCCGAGGACACAGTGTCCTTGATTTACCACTTGCCAAGTATCAAAGACCAGGACATTAGCTATGCCTTTTCACATTGTTCCAACCATTAGGCAGTTCAGCTAGTAGTAGAAAGGAAGAAAACACATCACACATTTAAAACATACACATACCAAATGGAAAGAGGGATTGCTGCCAACATTCACTAACTACAGACACAGCACACCAAGTATGAAAATGCCTGTGCAGGATACACCACCCCAAATAAGAGGGAAGGTCCCTTTCAGGCATCGACCGTACCTGCACACCAGGGTTGCGATGATGACGCACCACGCCGTACAGCAGCAGTCTGCATTGAGATGTTCTTCACGCTTCCGATGGCGGCAGCACAGCCAAAACGAGTAGAACAAGAGGAAGAGCAGGTCCAGAGCGAGGCAGGCGAGCGCGATGCCACCCAACAGCAGCAGGGCCTGCAGAAAACAGGAGATGGGCACCACATCTGAGTACGGCACAGCCAGAGCAGGGGATGTGAATCAGGGCCCAGATGTTTAAGGGCTCTGCAATAAGACAGCGCTGAAGGCATACCTTGAAAACAAGCTGGTTTGTGTTTTTCGTATATTTCTTAAATATAAACAGGAGGTTTTTAGCCCCACTTTCTCCCCCTCTCTGTATCCCACTCAATGAAACCACGTTCTGTACCTAAGCAGTAAATAGTTGAGCTATTTTGCCTCCCAGTCTGCAAACTAAGTCAATCAGAGAGGGTTTTTGATTGACTCCTGATCACAGGTCAGCAGAGTTAAAGGGGAAAAAAAAAAAAAAATAGTTCAGCCAGCTGCCTCTATCTGTACAGTTCTTTAATCTTCATGAATAAATATGCAGGCTTATTCATTAGAAACCCAAGTGCATGTGTGGGTTTGAAAGGGGGTGGAATTCATTATACATGTGTGAGATTGATTTAAAGAAAAAAAATGAATCCCCATGCAATGCTTCTGTTCAAGATAGACCTAGAATAAATGCTAAACCCCTCTGCATACAGGTACAACAAAACTAATGTGGACACTACAGACATACTGGCTTGAAGCTGTCACAAGTTGAGTTATTATGTTGTGCTTATTTCTAGTCAGATGTTCCTGGGAGGCAAGGGAAGCAATAAGTGTTTAACTCCATTCTAATTTATTTTTATTCAGAAAATCCTGGTTGAAACCCAAAAAAGCAAAACAATTTTGTTAAAAATAAATATCCATTCTAACACCATGTCCAGCTACACTTTTTCATGTGAATGAATGAAGGAAAAAAGACGTTACTTCATCCATAAGCTTTTTTAGACAAACCCTTGGTAGCAGTGACAAATGTCAACCTATTAAAAATGACTTAAAAGATCTGGAAAGGACCTAAGTCACCTATTGCTGCCCCAATATCGGGAAGGCAGACGTAGATCCATATCAGCAAACCTAAAACAAAAGGTTAGGGTGTTGTTTTTTTTCTTTTTAAACAATATCTTTTTTCTCCCCATGCAGAAATTCTCTAAAGAACATTTATACACTTCCTCCCAATTGAAACAATAACTTCCTCCTGGTCAAAAAAATGACACAAAGAACACTGTGATTCAAGTAAGACTCTCAAAAAAAAAAAAAAATGGTGACTTTCTAACAGGGCCTGGTAGTAACTTGCTCTTCGTAGGCTTTTCTTCCCTTTCTTTCCCCCTGGCCTGCTCCATAGGTACTCCCTGGTGAGTTATTATCCTGGCAAACTATATGAGCCGCACAACATACTTTCCAGCCAAGTAAACGTCAGCGTGTACAGACGGTAGGGCCCGTCGCCACATAACGAGATTCACGCTCGTTAAACCCAACCGCTGCATCACGGATACTCCACGCAGCCGCGTGCCGTTTGCTTTCCCAGCCTTACGACACCCACCCAAAGCCCACTGGGATGGAGAGGAGTGGGGAGCTTACAGGTGCTGCTTTCCCAAACTGAACAGCAGAAACTCAGTCCCATTGCAGAAAGCGAACTTTTGGATTTTTAAACGGAGAAGAGTGGGGGTGGAAGGGAAAAAGCCCTATCCCCCTTTCCCATGACTGTGCCAGATGGTGCGTGCGCTGTTCGAGTTCCCGAGCAGAAAGGGGCCTTGGAGAGGGAAGCTGCATTCGGAGCCCCACGTTCTCCCACTTCTGACAGCTTGCCACGTACGAGCACTCAGTACTAATTTAACTAACGCGTTTGGCGTACCAAAGCTCCTCAGGGATATTCTTTATTTCTTTTAAACACATCAGGCTGCTGTAATGCAAAGCTTTCCTGTGCTGCTCGCCTGCACTCCTTTCTTCGCACCCTCAACCTTCCCGCACGTGCTAAAAGGCATTACCGCTGGAAAGAACCACCCAGCTGAAAACATCCTCTCAGCAGCTCTTTATCAGCAAAAAAATTCACTCTGCAGCTCCAGATGTAGGGGAACAGCCCCCATTAGAAGCAAAAAAAAAAATCATAATTAAAGACTGCCGTGCAGCAAGCAACCTGAAGTCCTTGCTTTGAGCAGACACTTCATATATGCTTTAATTTTTGCATCTGGCCAAAAGGACTCAGCTGGCCACTACACCACGATCTGTGTTTCATTTTCCAGAGAGTATTTGTTTTCCATTAATAGATAATGTGCCATGACAACAAGTGAAATCATCCAGCAGAACAGTTATTAATCTTTCTGACTGATGAGTCAGTTTAGGACCCAGAGACTGGCTGGCAGTGAAAGCCTGGTCACAACCAAAGCTATGCCTGTGCCTGCTTGCCAGGATTAAATGACAGTATTTAAAAAAAGGGGGCTTGAAGCTGGATAAACCCTCAGACACTCTATCCTGCAACAGTAAATCTGGGACTCGGTTATCCAAGGCCACGTTATCCTGAGTAAATGTAAAATTATGCACTGGGCCTTCTGCCACAAGAGAGCATCAATTCGTCTTCGAACCTTTGCTGAGCCATCAGAACCTTTATAGCAAATGATGCATGAACTGCCCTTACAGGAAAACGGAGACAACTTGGAGGAGCAACATTTTACCACTGTGCTGACACTAATGGCAGAAGTGGAGACAGAGCAGTCCCTGAAAATGACTGTAAATCCAAGCGGTATCAGCCAGACTGGCAGGAGACAAAGCTACAGTGTTTGGAAGCACTTTCAAAATAAAAGCTAACAGTGGTACACAGGGAAGTAACCACAAGCAGCATTACTAGCTCGGAAAGGCACTGTGAAACCTGAATACGCTTGGGTCTTGTGCAGGGATGATGCTCGGCAGCCTGCTGCAGCATTAACAGCCTTTCTCAACTCCAGCATGGTTGCCAGGATTCATGGTATTTACTCTTTCTGTGGGAGTAAAAAGTCAAGAGAGGGACAGAAAACATGTAGATCTTCATGCACGGGGATGGGCTCCATCACAATAAAAAACAGCAGGCACAGCAAAAACATCCCCCCCAAAAATACCTGGAGGCTGGTTAGCCCTTCCATGTGGTATGAGGGTACTGATACTATACCTAAGGGCACATATGTAGGTCAGCCTTCAGTTAGAACAATCCTTGGTCTCTGAGACCGTGCCTTATGTTACCGTGGAACAATTAAACCCACATACAGCCTTGTCTACTAGATGGAAAACCTCCATACAAAACAGTCGCTTTCAGCTTGCAAGTTCCAAACTGCGATGCACATCATTAGTTACCTGAATATATTTGTGGGCTGTGGTCCTGGAAGGCTAATTTTAGCTGCTGAAACTGCACTTATGGGATGTATATTCCATTTCATCCCACATACATAGTCACAAAGAGAAGCAATCTACATAAGAACATGAGAAAAGAGATATACAAGATACACTCGAGCATAACATCCTTAGCAGAGAAAACCTAAAAAAAACCCACAACACAGCACATTGTAACAAAGGAGGTAAATGCTGAGTTGCATTCACGTTAAGTGTTAAGGTTTAGCACTACCTTGAGTGCTGTTGGCTCGTCACTCGACTGTACGGAGGAGTGTTGGCTTAGGGACCCTTCTTCACACCACCACATCCCCTCTGCCATGAAGGTTACTTGGCGTGAGAAGTCCTGGCAGCAGAACAGGCTTAGAAAGTTAATTCTGAACACACATGGGCTCAAAATAATCCATGTGTTTATTAAGTACAAGTCTTACCCATCTCAACCTATCCAACTTCCAATTACCACGTTCTTTAGATCTTAACTGTACCAACAGCAGCATAGTGTAGCAAGCAGCTCATCACATGGAATAGATGACAGCTATTTCTGGATAGCACTGCTATTTTACTACTAGTTAGAAAGTCAACTAAAACCTCATTAAGAAACTTCAGAGCAAAGCTGAAGCCTTCAGGTGGTTCCTGAAAAGCATGCCATTTCACCTTTAATCTTCTATCAATAATTTTAAAATTACTTCATCTTAAAATTTCATAATTTCAACCCAAAGGACAAAACAGCTACAGCTTTTGAGCGTCTCAACAACACAGCTGTCTTAATCATTGCGAGATTGAGAACTCTGTATAGTTCTACCTTGAAGTTAGCTTTTGCCAAAAGAAAGTTTTCCACTGAATCTGCAACTAATGTTCCTTCTGGATTTCCATGCAGCGACTTGAGATTGTGATCATAAAACAGAGAGAAGAGGTTAAGGGAGTGTGGGAAGAGAAAAACGTTCGCTCAAGAAGAACAAATGAAGCAAACTGGGCTGCTGCCAAAGGTGCACTCATCTCTGTTTATTCCATGAAGAACGGAAGTCGCCTTAGCAAGAAAAGAAACTGCTGTGGGATAGTATCATGCCTACACTACTTCCCACATTGTTTTTTTGCAGCCTTCAGGACATCTCCAAGAAGATTACATACTCATCGATGATAAGTGACTATGTCCTACCAAACATTTTTTTGTAATGCTGGCACCACGAGGAACACACTGACTGCCTCATCAATTTGTTCTGAACATGCTGTGTGTTCAGAGACTCAATTTTCATTTCTGAAAAATTCTTTACGTGGTGTTTATTGAGATACTTGAGTGTCTCAGGATGTCATTCATCCCACAGCCTCTACAGAAGGATGCAGGCTTTGGAAGGGAACGCAGCCAACCGCATATTGGCAAATGTAATATAGGGGGAGGATGTGGAAACCACTGCTGATCTCAGCACTAAACCATCCATATCTGCTCTGCCTGGGGGACAGACCTTCCCAGCCCAATTACTGTACTCAACACAGTAGAGGAGCAAGGCTGGGCAGGAAACGTGCTGTGGAAGAGGCTTTTCCCACGGTACTGAGATGTATTCTCCTTCACGAGGGATCCCTCAGCAGCATGGAAAGGCACCATGGAAACAGAGGGCAGGTTCCACCGTCTCATCTCCTTATACAGACATTTCCCAGAGAAAGCACACTGTAAGGGAGTGCAGTAGACTACACATATATAGTTAGGGCAAGTCCACACTGGAGCAAGCAATATAGGCCAACAC